CTTGAACTTACAGCGGCTCTCTCCTGGGTGACTGGCAAATTTGCTCCAATAATCCTTGTTTTTAGATGCAGGTTCAGGGAAGGTGAAGAATGGGGATCATTTAGAGTTCTAGGGTTGTTTGGGGGAATGTGATAGAGGGTAGAGAGGGTGAGGGGGCCAAGGGCAGTGACAAGAGAAGGATGTTTGTGGAGGGCCATGGAGCCTGAAAGCAGGAGAGAAGAAAATGAAGACAGGAGGGGAAGATGGCAAAGAGGAAATGGTGGAGAGCTGTGGATGAGAGGCTGAGGGACCTGAGGCCTTTTTTTCCAAAAAGCATCTAAGCAAGGGAGCTAGAGCTGTAGTCGGAGTAGGATTCTCAATTCTTGATTTTGGAGACAGGTTTCTGGTGAATTCAAAATCCATGTATGAGGAAGGAGATTCTGATACAGACTACGTGAATGAACATTGAGGACATTATGTTGAGTGAAATAAGCTAGACACAAAAGGATGACCACTGTATGGTTCCTCCTACATTAAGTATTTAGAATAGCCAAGTTCACAGAGACAGAAGGTAGAAGGCTGGTTGTCAGGGCCTGGGGGAGGGCAGGGGAGAGAATGCTTTCTGGGACTGAGTTTTGGTTTGAGGTAGTGAAGGTCCTGGGAATGATTGAAGGGGTGGGCTGCACAGCAATGCGAATGTGCCTAATGCCACTGACCTGGGCACACTTAAAAATGGTTAAAATGGTAAATTTTATATGTGTATTTTACCCCATTAAAAACCCCCAGGTGTGACCTCAGGCTGGGTGGCTGAGGAAAAGGACCTCAGCTATGAGGAGGTGAAGGAAAAATTCAGAGATGGAGGCTCTGAGAATGAGGGGAGAGTGGGGTGGAGAGTGGGAGAGGCTTCAGTCCATGAGTAAGGGGTATGATTGGGAGGCTGGTAGAAACAGCCAGGAAGGAGGGAGTGGTATGGTCAGCTGGGGCGGCTGGGGTGGTTAGTGGTCTGGACAGGACATTGAGGTGGGGGGTGAGGAGGACTCCCACCCCATCTTGGCTCTGAGATGTGTAGCTGGTGAGAGAAGGAACAGTACCAGTTGAGAAGCAGTGGGAGAAAGTCTTGGGGAAAGCCAAGTTGCAGTTCAGGCCAGGAGGCCGAGGGAGCTAAGAGGAGACTGGGAATATGGGGACATCCTAGGACTCATTGGGAAAAAAGGGGTGGTGGGGGTTGTAGAGCAATCGCTTCAATAGGGAGTTCCAGTTTAGGAGACATGCAGGGCATTAGCCCCCACCTCCTAGGGCTGAAGCATGGAGTCGAGAGTTTGCAGCATGATAAGGTCCTGTAAGTAGGGTACGTGCCCTTCCCTACTTGGCTTAGATAAGAACTTGGACACAACACAGATTCCTAGGGAGCCTAACCAAGAATCTATTTACCAGCCCTGACTTAGACCAACCTGCTCATTTTATGGACAAGGAAACTGAGGTTAAGAGAGGACAGATGATTTTCTCAGACCAGTCTCAGGCTGAAAATTCAGATTTCCTGTCTTCCACTACGCTGTGAAATGTCAGTGATCTCAAAGGCTCTCATGAGAAGGACTAAAAGCACACTGAGAGCTGCCCTACGGGGTTGGTAGTAAAGAAGGTGCGGCAGGGAAACAATTGGTGAAAGGAGAAGGGTGGGAATGAGCTGGGGAGCTGAAGAATGGGAGATGAGTGAGAGGCCCAGGGAATCCCAGGCTGGATCAGTGGCCTCTAATTGGCACTTGAGGCTGTGGAACAGGTCAAAAGCTCTGTTCCATTTCCAGTACCAGGGCTCTTTGAAAGTAAAGCAACCCTGTCCTGTTACTATTGCAGAAAGCTCCAAGGCCAACCAGCAAAAGCCAGCTCCTTTCCCTCCTGGTAAGAATCCAGAAACATCAATGTGCTGTTATATGCATAGCAATGCTATTTACAATAGCCAAGTGCTAGAAACAGCCTAAGTGCTCATCAGTAGATAAGTGGATCAAAAAAATGGTGGTACATCTACACAATGGAATACTACGCAGCAGAAAGAACTCTTACCTTTTAGAGACAGCATGGAAAGAACTGGAGAATATTATGCTAAGTGAAATATGTCAGTTGGTGAAAGACAAATATCATATGATCTTACTTATAAGAGGGCTCTAATGAACAAAATAAACTAACCAGCAAAACAGAATTAGGGATGTGGAAACATGGAACAAACTGACAGCTGCCAGAGGGGAGGGAAAAGGAGGATAATGGTGGAAAGAAGGGGAAGGGGACTAGTCTAAGAACATGTATGAATGACCCATGACATGGACAACAGTGTGGGGATTGACTTTGGGAGCAGGGGATGGGCTGGGTGGAGGAGAGCAAAAGGGAAAAAATTGGGGCAACTGTAGTAGAATAACAATAAAAAAAAGAAAAGAAAGAAAAGCCCATGAAGTGAAATATAAGGAAACCTCTCTAGGCGTGTCTTCAGCAGTGGAAGAGAGTATTTAGGACAGGGATACTGGGGAACTATATATATTGCTAAAAAAAGAGACTGCTTTAGGCAATCATGATATGCATATCCTATGCATGGTTGAAAATAAACAGGGCCATATTTGAGACAGATTTTTATAGTCTTTTATGCCATCCAACTCTAAGCAGCTTCTGCAATACTTGGATTTATGAAATATCTTGGTCACTGGTCAGAAACAGCCCTTGGTTTATGTAGTTTAATCCAGGTCCTAAAGAACTCACCCCAAGGGTGGAGGGCCACAGGGAGACACCCCAACCCCTGATCCCAGGGGTGAGCTGGACCAGGGCTCCTCCCCCATCCTCTGTCTTTATTCCATTTGTTTTCCAATTCTGTATGAGTAATCTGAAGAAATCTGGGGGAAAGCTGTAAAGACTCTTCAGGATACAGAGTTGGGATACAGGTACTCTGGATTTTTTGTTGCTCATCTGGCAAATACTAAATACTCCCCATCCAGTGGGGATACCTTCCTTCCAAGGGGCTAGATATGTCCTGTGTCATCCCCTGGTCATGTGTTGTGAGTTGAATTGTTTCTCTTCCAACACCCCAACTCATAAATTAAAGTCCTAACCCTTATCTCAGAATATGACTGTATTTGGAAACAGGGTCTTTAAAGAGATAATTAAGGTAAAATAAGGTCATTAGGGTGGTTCCTCACCCAATGTGATTGATGTTCTTATAAGAAGGGGAGAATAGGGCAAAGGCATGTACAGAGGGAAGACCGTATGAGGACACAGGGAGAAGAGGCTGTCTGTAAGCCAAGGAGAGAGGCCACAGAGGAGACCAACCCTACTGACACCTTGATCTTGGACTTCCACCCTCCATAACTGTGAGAAAATAAATTCTTATTGTTTAAGCTGTGGAAAGTTGACATAAGTTGAGGCCATTTAAAAATAGAACTAGGGAAGCCTTGCATGCCTTACCCCTCCATATTTTGGAGTGTTTGAACTGGGAAAAATAGTTTTTGTACAGGGCCAAGCCAACGTTGTGCTTTGAACAACTGTTTGCAAGCTAATAGGAAGGCAGGCATACTGACTAGTGGACTGAGAAGTAAAGACGTCCTTTAGAATTAGCACCACCAAGCTGAAGGGCAACTTGGCCTATTTGTGCCTTCAGAAATTCCTTCCTTCATTTGTATAATTATTCCCTTTCCCTTTTTTCATAAAACCCCTCACCTACAGCCCCTAATCAAAAAATGACTTGGGCTTGAAGGGGTTCAGAACAGGCCTCCCCAAGATGTGCCACTTTTGCATGTGAATTACTTTGAGCTAAAGGCAAAGGACATGGAGACCCTGTGGTCTCATGAGAAATTCTTACCCCTCCCTTAAAGAATTTAAATGTGTGTCCTTGCCCATAATTACAGCTGCCACCAGGCAACTTTATGATCTATCCATAGGGCAGGGCAAACATCTGATACTGAACATATGCTCTTATTGTTCCCCTGTGAATGACCTTCTCCCCTCTGAAGCCCCAAGGTGCTCTGCCCCATCCTTAGCTCAGAATGCCACATATATAATTTTGTCTTTTTGTCTCTGAACCTTCCATGTATGTGAGGTCTCAGACTCTCCCATGTAGGCAGGGTTCCCATATATATGTATGTAGTTAAATTTGGTTATTTTCTCTTGTTTATTTCATGTCATTTTGGATATTAGACCAGCTGGAAGAATCTAGAATGGCAGAGAAACTTTTCTTCCTCCCCCACAGGTTTCTGTCTGAGTCAGTGTTTCCCAAATAGCTATTCTTTTTGATCTCACACAAATACTTGTTGCCTATCTATTTGGCCCTTTATTTTTAGGTTAACAAAACAAACCAGTCAGTGTATTTTGTTCTGGAAGGTCAAGCAAACTCAAACACCGTGTCTAGAAATACCTTATTAAGTGGGCAAACCGGCTGTTTCCTGGCATATACCCCTCTTTAGGAACCTAGGGCAGGGCGGGTGGCCTGGGAGGGTTGTCTGAATGGAGCTGCCTGAGGAAGGAGACGAGATCTTCGCTGACCCTCCTGATCCACACTAAATGTCCACTTGAAGCCTGTCTCCTGGGACGTGCAAGAAGATGATATGGAAAAGTCAGATTCAGAAACATGTGTTTTGTTCCTAAGCTGCCTCGAGTCCAGTTCTACCAGAGGGGAATGCAGGAATGGCTGCCCTATGGCTGAAATCCTTATATTTGTATCTTTTAAAAAAACGAAAACAAGAAATTTGGCCTTTCAAACCATGTGAAGGCTCTTTACAGCAGAGCTCAGGGATCTCGAGTCCTTCCCGGAGCCACCAGCCACAGACACACAGGGTTTTCCACTAAGCCTACGGGGGACGAATGACTCACACAGGAATGGAGTTTCGGACCCGACCTGAGGAGAGGCCTGAGCCTGCGGGGACACGTCCCTAGCTGAGTCCAGAGCAGCAGTAATCTCGAGGCCTGCCGTCAGTCACCGCAGCTGGCCCACGTCCAGGCGCTGGGCGGAGCGGTGACTAACGGAGCTGCCTCCCGGAGGGAGGAAGCAGGGAAGTCCGGGCGGCTGCAGTCGTCTGGGCGTGGCTGTCCCAGCCGGCGTGGGCTGCGCAGGTCCGGGCCCGGCCGAGGAGCAGAGGAAGGACGGCTGAGCAGGCAGAGCCTTCCAGATGGCTGAGCTAGACCTAATGGCTCCAGGGCCACTGCCCGGGGTCCCCGCTCACTCGCTGGTCACTCTCAGTCCAGACTCTGGGTCCGACAGCCCAGCAGAGGCCGAGGACCGGGGCTCCCTGGAGAGCCCCCCGGGGGAGCCCGAGGGTCTGGGCACCGGCTCTGGCGGCGAGGGGGAGGAGGAGATCCTTTGTGACTTCTGCCTTGGGGCCAGTAGGGTGAGGGCGGTGAAGTCCTGCCTGACCTGCATGGTGAATTACTGCGAGGAGCACCTAAGGCCACACCAGGAGAACAGCAAACTGCACAGCCACCAGCTGGCGGAGCCGGTGAAGGACCGGGACCTGCGCACCTGCCCAACCCACCACAGCCCGCCGGTCGCCTTCTGCTGCACCGACCGCCAGTGTATCTGCCAGGAGTGTGGCCAGGGCGAGCACAAGGGCCACGCCTCAGTCCCCCTGGATGTCGCCCGTAGGGACAAGGAGGCGAGTGCTGGGGCCGCTCTGGGAGAGGAAGGTGGGGAGGTGGTGTGCCCAGGGAGAGGCTGCGCGGTTGCCGCAGCCCCGGGGCTCTTGCCTGCTCTTCTGTACTCCGATTCACCTGAGGGGAACTTTACCCTGGCACCCGGCTCTTTTTCCAGCGTAAATATCCAGTTCCTTTGGCTTGGAAACCTGAAGTAGGTCGCTCTGCCTTATCTCGACCCACTGCCCCTGCGCCATCTCCAGTCGTGTCTGCCTCTCCTCCTGCGGGTAGTTTCCTGCTTTTTCTCCTGCAGCTTTTGGCGATTGTTAGGAGGTCAGGCCTGGGGGCAGAATCCAGGACGGGGCTGAGAGCAGGGATACTTCCCTCTGCCTGGATCTGTGTGGCAATTAATGACGTGTAAACCTTGGCAGAAATTCAAGGGAAAAGAATCAGACCATCCCCCTAATTTCTTTTCTTTCCTCTACCCCCAACAAGAGACCACCAGAAAGTGTGGATTTCGGGGTGAAATCCAAGAGCTTGAAAGGACTAAGATTACATAGAGTTGGAAACCTAGCTCCAGGTACAATGTCAAGGACAGCAAACTAGGGAAAAATAAAAGTTCTTTATCAGATAGTGGTATAAGGAGAGACTGAAAAAAAAACCCCACCATGTGCATAGCCTGTAATATTATTCCCATCAGATAGGGAAGTTGTGTCTAGAACAACTAGCCCTACAGTTGAGAACCCAGAGTTCTTGGGAATGAATTTAGCAGCTCTATATGCTTTGTTTCTCATACTTCAACTTTCCTAGAGCACTTGTTTTATTCTCAGTGCAAACTGCAGGTGACTTTTGTCCCACATTCCTTAGAGTCACACTCCTGGCAGGTCTCCATTTGCATTGTGCATGGGGCATGCAGTCCCACCCTTGGCCCAGGCTTCCTGGGCAGCAAACAGAAGAGGCTTCTGGGAAGGGCAGTTGGCTTGCCAGGGCCCCACCCCCATGTTCCTCCTCAGGCATGGATTTTACCCCATGCTAGTGGGAATTATTTTGGAAAGCTGTGTAGTCCAGATGAGTCCAGTGAGTCATTGTTTCCAACTCTGGAAACCACTTGCTAACTGTTTCTAGGGATTCCAGAGTCAGGGAATACCTCTCCTTTCCCTACTTCTGTTAACCGTGAAGGGGCTCTGCACTAACAAGTAGGCAGATCAAAGGAAAAGTTCTGCATGATTGAGAAAATTGGTCTTCGTTGAGCATTGCTATGTGTTAAATATTTCCCATGGCTTTTCCGTCCCCAGATAACTCCATGAGGTTATGATCTTTTATCTCTACCACGTTTGTCCAAACTCATACACAGGAGTCATGCAGAGAGGAATGAAGGGCTCCAGGAAGCTACCTGCTGGAGGGACACAAGGGAAGGACCCCAAGATCACAGTGTTAGAACTTTACCTTTTTTATTTTTGGCACTAAAAACCTACCAAATGTATAATAGAAATATTAAGGCAAAGTGTACTGCTTTTCCCTTTGGGTATAATATTTGAATTCCATTATACTTAACTGGAAAAGGGATGCATCTACTTGTTGGAAAACAATCTGCACCAGATTATACCAGAAAAAGTTCTCCCTCCCACCTGGATCCCTCATCTTCCCTCCTTGGAGGCAATCACCATCTTCTACACTGTCTCCTGTTTTCTTTAAGAAATGTTCTATGCTTGTAGCAGCATAGAAACACTACAAATTTCAAACACAGCATAAACGGATGCATTACAGAGACTTAGGGTTATTGTGATTCTGAGCAGGAAGACTTGTGCACAGCATGTGTGGAACCCCAGATTCAGTCATCCTAAGAGAGAACTGATAAGGTAAAATCAGGACACCTGGATAAGGGTTCTAGGGTAGTTTTTAGTGCTGAAAAGTGATCATGGTTATACATCTAGTGTGATAGCCCCAGACCCCAGAGTTTTGGAGATGGCCCCAGTTCATGACCTCTGCTTTCTGGTCTGCCTAAGAGTGTCCTTGCCCTTTCCACCCTGGGTTTTTGTTTTCAGCTCAGATGTTAAGTTTACCGTATAAGTGGCAGCCACACTCTAGGTGGCTCTGCCAAATCTTAGGAGCCAAAAAATTTCTTGCCAGGAGCCCAAGAGGATTAGCCCAGCAGACTCAGTGCCCTGATGAGGCTACAGCTGCTACTGGGGTCATTTTGAAAGTTTCGTTAGATACAATGAAGGCTCTAGAAGTCCAGTGTTCCCTTTAGGTGGCCCAGGTCTGCTGGTGTTACTTGATGAAGGTCGCTTTGGATCATGTTAAGGGCTAATTACTCAGGCTGGCACGTGGTGCCTAGAAAACTGCAAATGGCAGGGTCAGCCACAAGGACACCAGGTGGCCAAGATCCTGCACTGGGTCCACAGAGTAACTTATTTCTCAGTTAGCCAAGTGAGCCTTTTCTGGAACTCCCATGGTCTCTAGCTGCGTCAGGGGCAAAAACTCTGAGTTTTGGGAGTTCTGGGTGTTCTTTGATTATTTTTTCTATTCTGTTTGACCCTTCCCAATGGGGAACTCAGCATGTCCCTTTGCTCCAAACCTGCTTCCCAAGCCCCCTTTGTTTCTAAGAGCAGCTGGCCTTGACTTCTCTCACTTCCTCTGAATCTCAGGCTGGCCACTGCCGTGGAAATGGGCCCATGTGTATGCATGTGTTGTAAAACTGGTGCTCCTTCGGACTGCCTTCCCCTTTGTTCTGACTCTCGAAATGCACATGACTCTTGTTTTTCCTCAAGTTTATCAAATATTGTGGAGTGCTTCCTAAGGGCTAAGTGTGAGGCTACAGTGTCTATCCTCAGGGAGCGTGGAGTCTAATCAGGAGCCAAGGCACATTCCATGGCCCTTGGAACACCAAATGGCTGGAGTAACACACTGCCACAGGTCAGAGGCAGGTGCAGTTGTGGTGAGGGGTGAGGTCAGGGCAGGATTTGTGCAGGAGGGAGAGTGATCTGGGCCCTGTCTCTGATCCTGAAGTTCATTAGTGACACGCCATTGCAGTCAACATCAGCATTGGTTCCAGAAGCTTCAGAGCTGAGTGCTGCCCACCAACAGAGTCCCCTTATAGAACAGGAGCCAAGTTCCTGGGAGCCACAGGTGTTTGTGCATCTCAGGGGAGCAGTCAGCCAGCATTGCTTGCAGCCTATTTGCTGGTGTCCAGAAGGTAGGTGATTCAAGGCCACTCAGGAAAAGAATTTCTTATAGAAATTTTGAGAGTGGCCCTGGACTCAGTGTTATGTAATTTGTTTTTTCTTAAACATTCTACCAGGCTGTATGTCTTTCGAGATCATAGAGGATGTCTTATTGTACTGGACTGGCATGTAGTAGGTTCTGACCAACTGAGCAAAGAAGTCAGATGTAAACCAAAGGCAAACACTCGAGAAGGACCGACATCTCATGGTTGGAAATATAAAGGAACTAACACCATCTGGAATTTTCTTCTCTTATCCATGCCTTATGCTCTTCATATGTGCATCTCTAACCTGGTTCCTGGCCACCATACTCTGGGTTGCCACCTTTGCCCTGTAGATAGAAGCAGGGACAATTCTGTTGACAACTGTTGCAGCCCTATGCCAGTTGAGGTGCCAGATGATTTGATAAAGATTGTATAGCCAACGATAGCAGGTCTTCAGGCCCCAAATATGGAGCCTTTTGCACATTTGGCACTCCCCACTGAAGTCAGCAGGACTCCCTGTGCCCATCATCATGGGGCCATCTGTGCTCTTTGATGCCACTGTCCTGCTCGCCCCTGGCCTGAGATTTACGTGGCTGGCCTCTTGGGAAAGCCTGAAGCCAGAGTCGGAGCCACCCTATCATTTCCTAGGAGGAGGAATAACTGGAGATACTGGTTTCCCAAAGTGGCCCCACCTTTTGTGGGAAGCAGGAGTGACTTCCTCTGGGGTGACTCCCTCAGAGAGGTCTCCATTAGACACTTAGGAGCCACCTTCTCCTTTTATGGCAGTTTGCAGAGCTTGGAGAGAAGTCTCTCACTGGAGACTCTCTGGGTGTCCCCCTGTGGCTCAGGATCCTACGAGGGCTGACTGTGTCACCACTTTGTCACATCTGTGCCCATGGTGTGTTGCTGGGGCTGCCTCCACCTTTAAACAAGCAGTTTGTGTTTCCTTCTGCCTCCTCTGGGGCAGGTCACTGTGTAAGCCTTTTAGATTAGGAGTCCACAGTTGTCCTCAAATGGGACCGGCCCTCTCCGCTTCCACTCCCCCTCCTCACTCTGGGCAGCAGGTCTCAAGTGTCAGGGCTGGGAGGCCACTGGGGTTCCATCAGCTCTAGTCAGTGCCCAAGAGCCTGTGCCAACATTACCTGCATTCTGAGAGTGTCCATGTGAGGTGAGTCCCCTGCCTGCCAAGGCTGCCCTCCCTGGGAGGCCCGGAATTCCCTGAATTTTGGTTTCAGTGGGAGAAAAGAGGGACACTCATTTATAACCTCTGAGTTCCATTAGGGCATAATGACTCACAGCTATGAATGCAGACATAACCTATTAAAAGTCATTAGAGCCATTCTTTTTCTTTTTTGCTGTCTCATGCCTTTGTGGAAGGAGGAAAGTGACATGGTCGCTGAAGTTTTCAAAGGCTTAAGTTTCATGTCTCGGGGCACTTTTTGGCAGAAAGTGCTAGGGAGTCCCAGGAGGCAAGAGTGGAGAGGAGTCATAGGGTCATAGTGGGTGCCCACCTTGGCTGGTCCGCTCTGCGGCCCCGGGGTGGACAGGAACATGCGATGGAAAGCAGCCATGCAGCAGTGGGAGTAAGGACAAGGACACAGTGATGGCGATGATGGCATCAATGACATCGATGCAGTACTTCCAGTGCAGCAGTGAAGTTTCTGTTAACACAGTTACCCTACAAATGAGGCACTTTGGTTGTCCCCATTCCACAGGTGAAGAAAAGGAGGTCTGGGTGGAGGAGGTAAGTAGATTTTTCCAAAGTCTCAGCAGCTAAGTAGAAAACCTGGGATCCCCACCATCAGCTCCAAGCCCATGTTCCTTCTTAGCTGATTTTAGGTCAGATGGCCTGGGCTCAACTCCACTGTTGAATGTGTGTGACCTTGGATTAGGTGACTCATTGTATCACCTGTAAAATGGAGATAATGACCTTTACCTAACATGAATGTGGTCAGGACGATAGGAGGTAATTCACATGAATGCTAAAAATGATGACAAGCACAGCACGGTGTATGTGCTCTCCATATTTCAGCCAATTCATGCTGAGTTCAGCTCCAGGAGGTGCAGGAGGTGACCCTTTGCGCCTCCCTTTAGGGTGCTCTCGGCTGCTTCTGAGAGCAGCTTCTGAGGTCGAACTGTCCTTCCCATGGAAGTAAGTGGAGCGTGCTATTGCTCCTGTGAGCATTGGACTCCTCCTCTTAACACTGTCCTTTCCTTTTCTTAGGCTGAGCTTCGGAGCACCCAGTTGGACCTGGAGCGGAAACTCAAGTTGAATGAAAACGCCATTGCCAGGCTCCAAGCTAACCATAAATCCGTTTTGGTAAGACTGGTTTGGGTCACCTGTCAGGCTTTAGGGCTCCTGGGACCTACTGCAGGCTCAGCGTGGCCCAGCAAGGTTTTAAGACATAGGGCTGCAGCCTCCATGTCCACGAGCTACTTGGGGTCCCTCGGCAAATGAGAATTATGGGCGCAGATAGAGTTGGCTACACCATTGGGTGGCCTAAACTTCCCGATGGGATTTGCTATGAAATAAGGTTAAGGTTCAAAATTGGCAAGTGAATTACTTTTTCATACTATAGAATAGAAGCAGACCAGTCCTATAATAACAGCATTCTTATTTTCACATTTGTGTGTGCTTTCTCGACCAGGAGAAAGGGTGCGGGGAAACGAGGGGGGTTAAGATAGAGCGCCCAGAATTATACACAGTCTTGGGTTGCCCAGCTGCATGTGGATGTCACCAGTCGTATGTCCTGGCAGCCAGGAGAGAGTTGAGGACTGCTGGATTTGCAGATAGTGCTGTCGAGGCCAATGGTGTGCCTGGCTACCTAGTTTTAGTCCCTCTGATTTTATGACCACTTTCCACATAAACTCTATGTATACCCCAACAGTCCCACAAATGCTTTTCATTAGTGGCAAACCAATAACCACCACTCAGCGTAGAATGCCATCCACCTACCCCATGGTCGTAAATCAATCAGCAGCATCATTCTTTGCATATCAGGAATGTTTCTGTCCCATCCGTCTGTCCATCCATCCATCCGCCCACCTACCCATATGTAATGCATATATTCATTTCAACTTAAAAATTTTCTCCTTCTTAGTGTTTATTACTAACTAGCTACTGAAGGTTAAATACCTCTTTCTTATATAATCTTATAAAAATAAGAAAAACAGTTACCCATTTAAAGCTTTATAAACCTTCACAGATTGTTGATTTCCAGGCTCAACATAATCTGGTGAATCACACTCAGCACCTTGCCTTTTCCCAGTTCTTTCCTTTTCAGGCACTTTGATCCCTGTGCAGCTCTGTACGTAATTGCATGGTGACTACGGGAGGTAGTTATCACACTGCCACCTGCAGTCAAGGGACGTGTGTACGAGGGACATGAAGACAGAGGGAGGTGATGAGCCTGGGATTGTTGCACCCTTGACCTGAGAGTGACTCAGTACATTGACAGACATGTATACCATCCTCTTTAAACCATTATGGTTGGTACTTGGGTATGTTTGTGGCCATCCTCCCCTTAGTATCTATTTGTCCTCATCTGGGCAGTAAATTATACCCTTTATACACCCTATTTACATGCAAAGAAGAAGTGTTTCTCCCTGGGAAGGCTGAGGAATGAGTGGCTCCACACAGCAGTAGAAGGCCGCCTGTCTACCCCTCTCCCTCAGGAGGACCTCGGGGCAGGGGGAGGGGAGGCATTGGGACCCTGAGTTTTGTCTTTAATCTCTGAGCTTCACGGCATTGTTCTTCTCTGAGGAACCTACATGCCATCAGTACAGGGCGTAAGTGGATTCTGCTTCTTTCTCACAACACCCCTGGCCAAACCAACGTTGCCTTACACACCAGTGTTTGCAAAGCTACCAGACAGCAAACCTCCTAAAACAAGGACTGATGGTTATGGATTCTCTTTCTGAAGACTGAATCAGAAACCAGCCATGTACAGCTAAAGAGTAACTAAGCTTATTAGTACCAATAGAAATTTATTTTTCTTTTATTTATGCAATTATTCCCTTCCTTTCCTCACACAGACCCCTTGCCTTCATTCTGTACTTGGGACACTATTTGGGTTTCTCTCTGAGCTGCAGTTCTTTTTGATTCCAAATAAATGTTTGTTAAAGATAAAGGATATATAAAATGAAGTCTCTTTCAACAAGCTTCTAAAATTATTAACATTTTGAAAGCTGAAGCATGAGGAAATACTGTATTCTTATCTTAAATATCCCGGTAACTTAAATTTTTTTGAACTTTCCACTCCTGTGTCAATGCCTGGACACACATCTAGACACACACCAGACCTCCACATATCCCTCTGATCGCCCCTTGGGGGACTTGCATGTCCAGGCCACCTGGCATCCACGTGACATCTGTTATCCAGATCACTGAATGTCCCAGACTTCCTGGGACTCACCCTCTAGAGCACCTGGCATTCACCATACAGACTAACTAATTTCTGACTGATGACCTTTTTGGACCTATTGTAGGGCTAAGAGCACAACACTAATTATTTGCAAGAATGCAATATTTCTACTGTATTTCAAGAACTCTTAACTACAGTAAAAAAGAAATTTTTACTCTAAGAACTGTCAGCATCAGTACTTAAGAACTACCAAGGAGAAGAGGAAGTCATTTAAAACTTGGACTGATGCTGTAAATATACTCTTGGCTGAACGCATTTACAAAGAATGTTCACCCTGTGAGAGGACAGGGTCCCATGTGCATGAGTGCCATCATGTAAATCCTTAACGTTTTCCATATTGAGTTGTTTTATGTTTTATTTGACTGGAGCATTCCATTCTGTCCAGGTGTGCTCATCCTGCAATGTATGGGTACTGTGGTCACCCACACATACCCTGAACATTTTGTGCCTGGTTGGACTCCATAAACTTACATGTGCTTTTGTCTCTGATGGCCTCAATGGGCAGTTTAACCAGACATAATGACATGCTAAAGAAGCTAATTCATGCTTTGAATTATATGAGGAAGCCAAATTATTAATTGACCACAATAAATATAAGTATCAAGTAGACGGAATACTTGAATTGCCCTAGTAGAAAACTTGGTTTGAGAACCGTAAATAGCACCCCAGCTGTCAGATCTGGAAGGGGTCTCAGACATATACAATGCATTCTCTCATCCAGCGGATGTGAGACTAAGTTAAAGATGGGTAAGTAGCCCTGGCTGGTGTGGCTCAGTGGATTGAGTGTCAGCCTGCAAACCGAAAAGTTGCTGGTTTGATTCCCAGTCAGGGCACATGCCTAGGTTGTGGGCCAGGTTCTCAGTTGAGGGTGTGGGAAAAGCAATTGATCCATGTTTCTCATCATTGATGTTTCTCTTCCTTCCTTCCTTCTCATCTCTCTAAAAATAAATAAGATCTTTAAAGAAAAGATGGGTAAATAAATACTAGCATGCTGGGGAGTCAATATTTTTTCCCAAGAACCCTGGATTCAGATGAGAATAAAAGCTTTCTTTTGTAGTAGAAAATTGCTCCTTAATTTACAGGTTTATCAAGTTTACATTTCTGTGTGTTGAGTTTTGATAAAGTTGGACACCTTGCTAACAGGTTCTTCCTGTGTCCCCCTTACTCCCACCCACCCTGGTGCACCAGGTGTCAGTGTCAGAGGTGAAGATGGTGGCTGAGGAGCAGTTTGGGGAACTCCTTGCTGCTGTGAGGAAGGCCCAGGCTGATGTGATGCTGTTCTTGGAGGAGAAGGAACAAGCCGCCCTGAGCCAGGCCAATGGCATCAAGGCACACCTGGAGCACAGGAGTGCAGAGATGGAGAAGAGCCAGCAGGAGCTGGGGAGGATTGTGGCTATCAGCAACACTGTCCTGTTCCTGGAGGTACGGGTTTCGGGGCAGGGTGGAGGTGCCCATGAAGCTAAGGGCAGGGACCTAACCGGCAGATGCAGGACTAGAACTGCTTTTTGATAGATGGGGTGTATAGGGGGCCTTCTGGACAGAGGGAGCAGGTGTTGATTCCGCAAAGGCAGGAGCACTGGAAGGGTAGGAAAGCCTTCCCAGAATGGCAAGCTGGAGCCAGCTCAGGGCAGATGAGTAATATTAAAAGAGAAGTGTGCTCCAGGAGAGGTTTGAGAGAGCACAACTCATTGGAGGGACTGTGTGCCTTCCCAAGTGATGGGAGATGGGACTGGCCAGGACAGACTGCCTTCTGACGGTGGTAGAAGTTTGCTCTTCATCAGGAAGTCACAGAAGCCAAGGGAGGACTTCTGATGGGGGAGGGGTGAGTTCAGATCCATGTGCTTTGGAAACCACTCTTGACAGCGGGAAGGAGGCTGACCTGGCAAGGTGAAACTGGACACCTGTCCCATGTGGGGGGTTGAGTGAGCAAGGCCCAGCAGAGGAGACAGGACTTCTCATTGCAAGGTACCCTGATGCACTAAGGCACATGCTATTAGGGCTGGGCCAGAGCACATGTAAGGGAAGGACACTGACTTGGGCATTAATCCTGTCATCTTGGATCTGTCTCTAACTAGCTCTGTAGTTTTTAGCAAGTCACTAAACTTCTCTGGGTCTCAAATTCCTCATTTATCAAACAGTCAGGTCAGAGTAAGTAATTAGTTCCTTCAGGCCTAATATTCCTAAATACAGATAATTTTCTTAATAGCATTTTTTTAAAAATTTCCTTCCAGTTACAATGGACATAAATGTTTACTGTGGAAAAACCAGACAGGTATGAAGGAAAACAGTCATGCACCCTCCCACCACAGTTGTAATGAGGGAGAGAGAGAAGCAGAGACAAAATACCGATGGGATGGCTTTCTACCAGTTCCTTGCTTTTCAGTATCAAAATGTGAAGAAAATATGAATAAAAATTGGCTTCCCATGTCATGAGTTCCCCCAGAGTATATAAATAATTTTTCTGTTTTTGTTTTTCCTTTTATAACTTTAACATAAAAACTTTAATATGTACCAAATCTGTTTTAGTATAAGTTAACTTATTTATTTCGGTTAAAGATATCTTCCTTTCCCTGCACTTAGCCAGTTGAAACAACATATATTGGATAATCTATCCGTTCTCCCACTGATTTAAGATGCTTTCATCATGTATAGTACAGAATCTATACAGAGTTTTAAAATGTTTCTCTCTCTCTCTCCCAACAATCTGGTTTGGACTTTTTCTCCCCTCTGCTGATCTGTCTCACCATATTGGTACCACAGTTTTCATCACTAAGTTTTACATGTATCCAGTCTGCTGTTCAGTGCTTCAGTTGCGTTTCAGTCTTGATAATAATGTGTTACATCTGAAAGTAACCTTTTCTGGTCATCACATTGCTTTGAAGTACAATTGGCTTACTGTGATTATCTATGTGGAAACACATTTTGAACTCTAAGTCACAGTAGAAGAATTAGAGAGAGCTGTGATTGACAAGGAAAAGGCAGCAAGTGCTCCTGTCTGAGGACTTGTGTTTAAATTATTTTTTTAAAAAAGTCCTGAGGGTATGCATAGCAGGAATGTTACCTCCATTTGGGCTATTGGCACAGAATGTTTTTGATTTTTGGTCCAGTCTGGGCTGTGTATTGGAGCTGTTCATGGACATCTAGTGTCTCTTGATTTTTAAAAACCCCCTTTCCCAGTTTAAAGAATAAATGTTTTTTATGATGTTAGACCCAGAGCTGGACACATGACATACTTTCTTTGGGAAGTACACATCACACCAACCCATTTTACAGCTGCAGAGAGTGAGTAAAGAGGGCAGCCCAGTTTAGGAGATACAGAAACCAGGGCGGGTGCTGCCATGTTCCCTTCCCTGCAGGAGTACTGCAAGTTTAAGAACACTGAGGACAGCGTCTTCCCTAGTGTTTACATTGGACTCAAGGACAAGCTCTCCGGTATTCGCAAGGTCATCATGGACTCCACTGTGCACCTGGTGCAGTTGCTGCACAACTACAGGAACAAGCTGGAGGAGTTTGCAAGGGAAGGTGAGAAGCCTCCTGTGGGCTGTACTATGTGTGCCTCTCCAAGTGGTCCACGGGGAAGGTGAGAGAAAGAGCCAGGGGAGGAGGGCGAAATCAGGGGCACTTCTCATTTTCAAAGCCATCCTCAGCTAGACTATGTTACTAATGGGCACATCTTGATTTCACTTTATGATTGAGACCCAGGTAGGGTGAGTTAGTCTGGTCTTGCAATTGGCTAGCATTTCTATGTTTGGCTTCTCAGATTGCTAATGCACATACTTTTAAGTGAAATCCAAGTTAGTCTGGGATCTTTTTCAGCCTATTTTGCTTTATCCATGAGAGAAATGCAGCCCAGTGAGCATGGTTCCCTGAGGAGTGACTAGGTTCCAGCCCCACCTTCCTCCAGGAGATCCGGGGAAGCGTGGCTGTGAAGACCCGCTTCTTATGTTCTCCTGACCACCTGAGCAGGTATGCATTCACACCTCTCTGATTTTCTAGAGGAGTATGACATCAGAACTCAAGTGTCAGCTGTTGTTGAACGCAAATATTGGACCTCAAAACCTGAGCCCAGCACCAGGCAACAGTTCCTCCAATGTAAGTTGTGAACAGCTCTCCCTTCTTTAGTTACTGATGTCAGTGTAATGCTTTGCGGAAGCAAGAATACCATCTCGCAGATAGGGTTCAGGTTCTTGCAATCTTGGTCTATCCCTACATGGTACATTTTAAAAAATTTAATTGCAAAAATGTTTAACTTTTCACTTGAAACAATTTCAAACTTACAAAAACATTGCAAAAATAGGACAAAGAATTCCTATGTACTTTTCATCCAACTTCTCTAAATGTTAACACTTTACATAATTACAGCATATTCAGCAAAACCAAGAAATACATGTTGTTGCTACAGTGCTATTAACTAATCTACAGAATTTCACCCAGTGTTCCAACCAATGTCCTTTTTTGGGGCTAAAGTCCGTTCCAGGGTCACAGATATTTCCATGCCTCCTTACTGTCCCCTGTCTGGGCATAGTCCCTGAGTCCCTCTTTGTCTTCCATGACCTTGGCACTTTTGTAGAGCCTGGGAAGTTACCAAATCATTCCCTGCTAAGTCTGGCTTGGGCAGAATTGCATAGCCCATCTTCTTGTCATTATGTGGCATTGAGCTGGTCTGTTAGCATTATTAAAAACACTGTATTTCCAATCGGTACTTCACTATGGTTAACAAGCCAGGGAGATTTCATCTGCCAGTAGGGGAAGGACTGCATCTGTACATTCAAGGCTCATTTTTTATGGCATTTGGCAAGTTCATCTTTTTGGGACATGCATTGCATAATGCTTCTAATTGTTTCTGGAGGTGACTGGTGACTGACAAACCCCGAGGCCACCTTTCCTCTGGTTATTCCATGCAGCCTCAGGTTCTGATGCCAATCTGCTGTTCCTACCACAGCCCTGACTTTCCCAGGACCTCTTGATTTCCAGAGTTTCCATTATTTATTCTTCCCCTCTTCCTGACAGAAGAACATCTATATATCACAAACAGATATAATTAGTACAAGAACACACTTTATTCTTAACATCAAATAAAAATGACATGATATCCTATTATAATCTATTCTTTTTTGAATGATAACTATCTTTTTGTGTATACAGTATTCACTTCTTCTCCTTGAGCATTGTCCTGAAGCTTTAACTTTTTATAGACTCAGATTTTTTCCCTTTTCAACGTTCTGGGGCTCAAATCCCCAACTTGACCAGCTCAGCTGCTTGCTTGTACACTGTCCTCTTTCTCCTTCAAACATTGACATTCTACCCTTGACATCCCTAAAAGTATCATTGCTTGCTGGAATAAACCGAATGTCCCAGACACATCCTGTTTTTTTTTGTTGTTGTTGTTCGAAAACATGGAATCACCTGCCCCCCGGGGAGTCCTGGGTCTCCTGAGTTGAGAGGAATATTATTGCTCAATATCTGCTGCTAAGGATTGCTGCAGGAGCTGGTGGTGGGCGTGGGCACTGTTGGGGCCACTTTTAGTGGTAGCTGCAGGTGGTCCTCCATTTATACTCACTTCTCCTTTTAAATTCTTGGACTGCCTTGTCCTTGTTTTCTTCCAGGATGTGGTCTCATTGACTGCTAAGAATTTCTCTTACCAAAAGAATTTGGAAAGCTCCTGGGTGAATTAAGTTAATTTTTTTAAATTAATGGATTTTGAAACAGCCTTTAATATGCTAATTCATTTGGCAAGGATATTTTGTGCATCTTCTCTGGACTGGAACCCCAGGATAGAGTCCCACATAAATTGTGCATCTTCCAAATAAGAAGGAGGAAAAGCATGAAACAAACACACAAGTAGCTCATTGCAATGCTTTAAAAAGCCAGGGTGCTCAGTGGGAGTGACTCAGATCAGGAAGCCACTCTGAGGACACTGGCTTCCAGCTGCAGCCTCAAAGGACCAGTAGGAACCACCAGGCTCAGGCTGGAACAATGTCGACATTGCAGAGGGAATGGTCTGTGCCAAAGTCCTGAGGTGGGTTCAGTGTTGGGTGGGTCTGAAGTCAGGGTGCTGGAGTGTGGTGATCAAAGGGGAGAGGGCAGGAGACAGGGCTAGCGACACAGGCCATATAGGCCAGGGCGAGGGGTCATTGCTTCATCCTAAGAGCAAGGGGCACCATCAAAGAGCTGTAAGCTGAGTGACATGATTCACCTTCACCTACACCCTGAAACAAGCAACATAGGCTCTGTCATGGGGAAGGTACAAAAGGGGAGCATGGGAGAGCAACATAATCAGTATGGAGCCTATTGCCCTAGTCTGGGTGAGATTGGAGGCGCCTTCTGTGGGAGGTGAAGCAGTGCCCTGGAGAGAAGTGAGTGGAACCTACGGGGCTTGCTGCTGCCTGCGTGTGTGAGGGGGGAAAAGGCAGGGGTGAGGCTGTGGGAAAGAGAAATGTCAAAAGTGGCTTTAGTGAGATTTGAGCAGCTGGGTGCATGGTAGTGCTACTGTTTTCCAGGACAGGGAAGAGAAGATGTGTGGGGATGACTTCAGAGTTCACCTGGCTAAATATTGGTCAGTTTTTAAAGTGGATTAAACATGAGCACATGAAGGCTTGTTCCCCCAAACGCTTGCCAGCACCGGTAGAATGGTGCCTTGTCAGCACGTACTTGTTAAATGAATGAAACAGTGAATCAATAGATTTTATTCCTTGATTCAGTTCAAGAAATAATACAGGAAGTGCCAAACAATTTGATCTTCAGAAAGAAAGGAAGTGAAATGACTTGTTAAAAAGGGAGGAGGTGATTGGGACAACTGTAATAGAATAACAATAAAATATTTAATTAAAGAAAAGGGTCTGGGACCACTTTTAGCATGTGTGGGGGGTTTCCCCAACAAGCAATCCTCCACGGCACCAGCTGGGTGTCCCACAGTTTAACGCAATTCTGCCACTGCCCACAGTTAAGGCCTCGGTCCCAGGAGACTGCCCCACACTTCAGATGCCAGTCACAAGGAGTAGGTTCATCACAACTTCTGTCCAACTCAGCTACACATCAGAGGTTCTCATGACCCCATCCTCGATCACATTAATTTGTTAGAGCAGCTCACAGAACTCATGGATATGTTTACTTATGTTTACCGGTTCATTAAAGGTTATGATAAAGGACACAGGTGAACAGTCAGATGTAAGGATACATAGGGCAAGGTCTGAGAGGGTCTTGAACTCAGGAACTTCTGTCCCTATGGAGTTAGGGTATGTCACTTCCCAAGGTGGATGTATTTACTCACCTGGAAGCTCTTAGAACCCCTTACAAATGGGATTTTTTAATGGAGCTTCTTCATGCAGGCATGATCAGTTAACTCCATTTCCCTCTCCCCTCTCTGGAGAAGTGGGAAGGGGAGGGGCATGGATGGCGCTGAAAACCCCAAGTCTCTAATCAGGGTTTGGTCTTTCTGGTGACCAGCCTGTCCAGAAACCCACCCAGAGTCTGCTCATTAGAACAAAAGACCTTTCTATCACATAGGAAATTACAAAGGTTTTAGGAGTCCTGTGTCAGGAACTAGAGTCAAAGGCCATAGATTATTAGAATAAAGATATTCCTAGCATCTTATCACTTAGGAAATTACAAAGGTTTCAGGAGCTCTGTACCAGGAAGGGGAGGGGGTTAGGGACCAAGTATGTATTTTTCATTATAACTCACAGTATCACATTCGTGTTCCCTGTTTTCTGGTTGTCACCAACCTGGGAAAACTGAGAACAGAAACACGGATATTTTCTTGTACTTTGGAGGCTGGTCAGGTTTGACCTACTCTCTCTGACTCGTGTATCTCCTCAGATGCAAGTGACATCGAGTTTGACCCTGACACAGCACACAGGTACCTCCGGCTGCAGGAGGACAATCGCAAAGTCACCAACACTACGCCCTGGGAGCATCCCTACCCGGACCTCCCCAGCAGGTTCGTGCACTGGCGGCAGGTGCTTTCCCAACAGAGCCTGTACCTGCACAGGTACTACTTCGAGGTTGAGATCTCTGGGGCAGGCACCTACATTGGCCTGACCTGCAAAGGCATTGACCGGAAAGGGAAGGAGCGTAACAGCTGCATTTCTGGAAACAACTTCTCCTGGAGCCTCCACTGGAATGGGAAGGAGTTCTCAGCCTGGCACAGTGACACAGAGACCCCACTCAAAGCCAGCCCCTTCCGGAGGCTGGGGATCTATGTCAACTTCCAGGGAGGGGTCCTCTCCTTCTATGGTGTGGAGCCTGACACCATGACTCTGATTCACACATTTGACTGCAAGTTTTCAGAGCCGGTCTACCCTGCCTTCTGGCTTTCCAAGAAGGAAGACACTGTGCGGATTGTGGATCTGGGAGAGGAGCCTGAGAAGCCAGCATTGACCTCAGGGGAGGCTGCTTCCTAGACTCTGGGATCCACATTCCAAGCTTCGCTAACCACGAGGCAGTGAGTTGCCTTCTGAGGGTGACCTGAGGGCAGAACTCTCTACCAGGGTTCACTGGTTTAGAAATCCTGGGGGTCTGTGAATAAGGAGATGAGCCTCTGGCTTCCTTTGCCTCCATGCTGTGCTGTTCCCCATGTTTGTAGTCATCTTCAGGTGAAGGCCCTCTTGCGTGATGCTTGAGACTCCCATCTTTGATATTCTCCTGTCTGCTCTGGTGAACAGCAGTGCATTGGGCTCAGAATTGCTAACCAGGAATCTTCAGAGATCAAAAAGATCACAGATTAATCATAATAAATTGCTAACTTTATGCATTTCCTACGTCCCAGACACTGTTTTGAGTGCTTCCTGTGAATCTCCCAACCTGACCCTCACACAGTCCCATGGGCTGGTGTTCGTATCAGCCCCAATTTGCAGATGGGGAAACTGTGGCCCAGGGGGGAAGTTAACTTGCTCAAGGTCACTGGAGTCACATGGTGAGTAAGTGACAGAGCTGGGGTTCAAACTTGGAGGCCTGAACTTTTGAACTTGGTGGTCTGACAGTGGACTTTTCACCACTGTACCATGCTGCCTTCCTCATTAGATTGTGGGTGTTGTGTGTGAGGGAATAAACTACATGTTGAACTATTCATGTGGAAGTAGAGCCTCCTCAACTGTCCTCTCAGAGTTTGACAATCTCTCTGCACCCCCCACACCTGATGGGGCGGTGCAGCTGTGCAGCAGCGGAGAGCTCATGCCTCCATTTGGGGGACAGCGAGGATTATAAGAAACGTGCTAGTGCCGTCCAAGTCTTAGTCCTCATGACCTCTGGGAAGGGCCTCATTCCTCTCTTCTGAGGTCACTGGAGTAGATGAGCTTGTCCGATTTCTTGTTCAAAGACCAGTTCTTCGAGTATTGAAGGGCAGTTCTCACAACACATCCTCCTAGGACGTTTTTCACATGGTATTTTCCACTTTTCTTGTTTACACACTGTCTCCCACTTTCCAGATCTCTCACTCTTCTGGTCATTTCATCCTCCTTTCCACAGATGTGCTCCATAAAGTTTGCGGTGAGCATTCAGCTAGCCTTTAGGCAAATGACAAACTGTCTTTAAATTACTTTCTGAGAACATAGCCTGAAGCTCCTGTAGGAAATACAGCTTCTGGTTCTGTGTCAAGGCAAATCTGTTTACCCAGGCCACTGTTCCCCTGGAAAAGGGAAGAATGAGACCCAGAAAGCACAAGTGTGGTATTGTGATTTATAATAAGATATACATCGTTGGTTCCTGCCCCACCCCCTCAAGTTCCTGGCACAGAACTCCTGAAACCTTTGAAATTTCCTAAGTGATAAGAGCACTAGGAGCATCTTTTGTTCTAACACTTGTCTTGCCTTGACCAGTCAGATGTTCCTATCTCCAGAGCCCATTACTTCAGCACTGCTAGATCTAGGCAGGCCTAGGAGGAATGAAAATCATCAGATAAGAAAATGGCACCGTGGGAAGCTGCCTACAGACCCTACCCAGGAAGTTTAGGCTCCGGGGTCGGCTTATCCGGCATAACAGGATGCAGCTTTCACCCAGCAACCAGCTCTAGCCAATCAGACTCTAATACCCCAAACGCAGGTTTTTGCGTTTAAAAACCCTGACCTAAGAACAAGCGAGCAAGTCCCAATATCCTTTGGTTGGCCCCACTTTCCTTTTAACTTCCAGTGGTTGGCTTCACTTTCCCTTTTATTACCTGCTAACAAACCCTGCTCTTGTTAGCTCGCTGCTTCTGTCTGGTTTCTTGAGTGACTCCGACATAACAAGCACCGCTTGAATTGTTGCCAGAGGCCCGTGCTATTATTTGTATGTGAGGATATATGTGGTGTAGGATTTGAACTTCTTACTGAATTTTTTAAAATTTGAGTTTTATTGAATTCATTTTTTGCTTGAATTTTAAATTTTATTACATTATTGCTACTTGCTTAGATAGGGTTTTTTTTTTCATGATTCTATTTCCAATGTATTAGCTGTCCTTCTTGGCCTAGAGTCACCTCCAGAATTGTTAAACTTTTCTGTTTAAGTCTTGATCTTGTTGATATATATATATATTTTTAAAGATTTTATTTATTTATTTTTTTAGAAGGAGAGAAGGGAGGGAGATAGAGAAACATCAATGTGTGGTTGCTGGGGGTCATGGCCAGTAACCCAGGCATGTACCCTGACTGGGAATCAAACCTGCGATACTTTGGTTTGCAGCCTGCGCTCAAACCACTGAGCTACACCAGCCAGGGCTGATATATATATATTGTTTAGGGGAGGGCCAAATATGGAATCTTGCAGCACACACAGCCGGCTGTGGGTTTAATTATTCAGTAAGCTCTGCATCCGTAGAACCGGATAATGAGGTGGCTCCTCTTTTGCCCCTCATCCACTGGACCAGAAGAGGGCCTTTGCAATGGTGAAGATGAAGATCAGCTATGGTTGCTCTCCATTGCTGCCCTGTCTGACAGTGCTCTCCAAAGAGAGAACGAGGGAGGCGTGACCTGCTTGTTTTTATTGAACCCCTGTGGGTTGTTGATGTTCGTCACTTTCTTTTCTAAATACTCACAAAATATTTGATAAACCGTTTTAGAATTCTGCTGTGGGTTAACATCAAGTTTACTAGTCTGTTTTTTTTTCCAGAATCTACCTTCTTTTTCTTTTTAAAAATCAAAACAATTTTCCTGTCCCCATCTACCATTCTCCTCAATTTTCCAAAGAGGAATGCCTGGTGTTTAATCACACTGGTAAATTGTGTCAGTCATGAGATGTCATTTCTTAGACCAGAATATTTGACTCATATAAAAGGACCACTTTGGGTGTCTCCTTGCCTGTTCTGAGCTTTGTTTCCCTGTCAGCTCTTTTGTCTCTTTTCAGTTTCAAGACTTTTCTTCTTGATATAAAAGATCAAAGCAAAATTGAGAGTTAAGAATATTTGCTTTCTTTCTGTCATTGCCTCAACAGATAGGCATAGTTTTTTTTCTTTTTCTTGGCCCACTAACTGAAAATTGCCTAAAATAAAAAGATGTTTAAAGAGAACAGAGGCTGATTTTATACTTTCTGTCACTTCCCCCTGCTCTGTGTCAGCCTTCTGTATTGACCCACATCTTTTCCCTCTTTCATTATGTGGAATCATTTTGGAAAAAAATAATCTGAAGTCATCAAGACCTCCTTTTGGTGCCAGATTATTTTGTTCCATTGCCAGATTATTATTTGTGATTGGAGAGGCAGAATGCAGTTTTAGCTACTACATAAATTTATTCTTGTCAAATTTTTTCTTTTTAAAATCATTTAAATTTTTTTCAATTATAGTTGACATACAATATTATATTCATTTCAGGTATACAACCCAGTAATATAAATGTCAGGTGACATTTATATAGCTTACAAAGGGATCGATCGCTCTGATAAATCTAGAACCCATCTGGCACCATACGTAGTTATTACAATATTATTGACTATATTCCCTATGCTGCACTTTACATCCCCATGAGTATTCTGTAACTAACATTTTGTACTTTTTAATTCCTTTATCTTTTTCACTCATCCCTAAACCTCCTCTCATCTAGCAACCGTCAAAATGTTCTGCTTATTTGTTTATTTTGTTTTTTAGATTCCACATAGAAGTGAATTCACCTGCTGTTTGTCTTTCTCTGCCTGAATTATGTCACTCAGCACAATACTTTCTAGGTCCATCCATGTTGTTGCAGACAGCAAGATTTTATTTGTTTTTTTAGTGGCTCAGTCATATTCCATTGTATATATGTAGTCTGCAGGTGGCTGTTACTTGTACTTTACTCTTTTTTCTCCATCTTCTCTTCTACCATCCTTTCTATTATTCTTTTCTTTGTCCTTTCTCATTTCTTCCATTTATGCTGTTTTAATCTGCTCCTCAAACTGGCCACTGTAACTTTGGGTTTTTTGGGGCCCCATCTCAAGGAAGTGAACTTCCAGCTTTGCCCCAGTCCATTAAGTCCTATTTCCACTGAAATGTATTATTTGTCACACTAGTTTTCATCGTTGTGGCTTTCAGCTTGGGCATTCTACCAGTGGTATTTGGCTGTCTCAAGCATTCTGGGCTTCAGTTTCCCCACATATCAAATGGCAGCGTTAGACTCCCCACATATCTCTTAAAGTCATCCATCCCTAAAAGTTGGCCGTTTTCTTTAATTTTTTAAATTTTTATTGAACTTATTGGGGTGACACTGGTTAATAAAATTATATAGGTTTTAGGTATATAATTCTATAATACATTATCTGTCTGTTGCATCGTGTGTTCACCAACCAAAGTTAAGTCTCCTTCCATCAATATCTTCTTCCCTTTACATTCTCCTACTTTCCCCACCCCACTTTCTCTATGGTAATCACTATACTTTTGTCTGTGTCAAAATCACAGACACTTCATGAATTTCTGTCACTTTTGTGCAGGGGCCATGTTAGTCATCTCTGTACCATTACGATTTCAGTGTATGTGCATCTGAAGCAAGCACAGCCTGGTCCTTTTCTTAGTCACAGAACATCAGTGGCCACTTTTGCACCCTTAGCCAATACATCATATTCAAGTTACTGTGGCATGATTTTTAGGGCCTTTATGAACAAACTAGATGACTGGCACACAGAGGCCCTCACTATCCCTGGCAGCTCCCAAATACAAATAAAAACATGTAAGAGCATATTGAGTTGGTCAGAAATACCAGAGATTCTGGGTCCTGTTTTTCTCTTCAAATCTATCCCTGGCTATTACGTTCCTGTGCTGAAGTTTTGTTGAGGTCCTTAGGTATCCTCTCAAAAGCTTAGATTGTTTTTTAAAGATTAATGAGAAGTAGAAATGGCTTTAGACTTTGGAATAACATGTTTGGATACTATTTCTCACTTTTATCTCATTCAGTCTTTGCAGCCTTGTGAGATAGATAATATTTTCTCTATTTCATGGAATGCAGCATGGAATGGTGACTCAGCAAGGTTAAATAACTCAGTCAAGGACACTCAATAAAAAGTTTTGAAAGAATTAAGCCTTATATTTATTTCTAAAGTGAAGTCATATTTTACAGATACTGAAACACAAGCATAACCTCTCTCTGTGGTTCTCAAAAGTGTGGTTTCCTAACCAGCAGCATCAGCACCACCAGAGAAGTTACTGAAATGCAAATTCTTGGGCTTCATCTAGGATGTACAGACTCAGATGGGGCGCAACCCTGTTTTCATAAAGCCTCCACTGAGGTCCACTTAGGTTTGAGAGTCACTGGTTACATTTAGTCTCTGTCTCCTGTTCTGCTTGTCAACTACCAATAGCAGGTGCCTGCGACTTTTAGT